TAACTTATTATGTAGGTTCGATAAATAAATACTGCAAAATCTGCAAAAAATAACATGTTCGAAAATTATAGTTGTGTTTAATGTTTTAAAAAAATTTTGTGATTTTTTTTTTTTATATTCACTGCAAAAATATTATAAATTAGGAGAAAAGTGTGATAGAATAATAAAAATGTTGAATATTGAAGAATTAATTACTCGAACATGTTTTCAAATCTGCAAAAGTAAATTTTCAGTTTCTGCATATTTGTAAGTGTGTGTATGTGAAAAACTTTTCAAAATTTAATTTGAATTAGAACTTTCAGTGTATGTATGTCTGAATCAATCGAAAATCAACTAATTTCAATTAATATTAAGAATTACAGTTCGTTCTCTATGTCTCACATTCTTTATTTTTCTCATCGGATATCAAGAAAATGAGTGAATTTTAGTTAAATTGAAAAGTTAAATTGAGAATAATGTAATATTAAAATGAGAAAATCTGGTAAATGTGTCAAAAAATGTTATTTTTTTTTTTTTTAATTTTTGATTTATAAAAATTTATAATTTTTAAACCATTAGTACGTTTACCTGCGAATAGAATATTTCAGTTGAAAATTATCTAAATACAAAATAATTTTCTACAAATAGAATATTATCTGATATATACATATGTATAACACTTGCAATAAAATTAGATTATGTATATCAATTTATTACATATTATATGTATGCAGGTATATTTTAAAATATTTTTCAAATCTTAATTATACTTATATGTATTATTAATATGTTCACCTTGAATATATATCAGAAGATTTTGCAAATTCTTTGTAAAACATAATATTTAGGTAGATTCGCTCATATGAACATACGTGTGTACAGATAATACATCACTACACGCATGTATGGACTTTTGTATAACATTCGTATTATATTGTAATTTTTAATAGCCGTATAAAACACGGCTAATCGAAAAAGATAAATAAAAATTTTAAATATTTTTTTATTTCAAGATTTAAGTTATTAAAACTGTTATTAAAACAAATATTAAAATAAAATAATTGTTTTAAATTCTTTACACACGCAATACATTTTATTGTTGCTAGAGCTACAACGTGCATTTTATGATCAAGTGTAATTTTATATACATATGTATATAAGTTTGTATGATAGAATATGTTATTAATTTTTAATTGTTTCTTTAGAATATAATACCTATTCACAATTGTTTATATGTTTCTGTTACTGTTATCTGTTATTAAACTATTACAGAATTTTATTAAACTATTAATTTCTAAGATGACATCTAATTTGAAATTTCTTCTTATTGCGTTTGTCATTAAAATGAAATATTAAAAAAATTTCATTTATTACTTCAAAGTAAATATTTTGCTCTATTAGTCGTAACGTTAGTGATTCCAAAAATATAAGAGTATAATGATCATTAGTAAGAATATTTAATGTACATACACAAACTGTCAAATTGTATGTGGCAAGAATATTGTACCTATAATTAGTGTAGAGCGTGGGAAATTTATTGTTCTTTAAGTAAAATTAGAAAAAAAATGCTAAAATGTTATACATGTATTACAATTTGTACATGTACATGAATTATTAATTGAGAGATTTTTTTTTAAATGAGATTACAAGTATTCATATGAAATTTAAAGTTTGAGAGTATTTATAAAGAGAGTAGTATTTACGATATTTATCCAAGATAAATAATTAATTATTAATACATTTTAATGCATTATAATGAAACCTGTTCAAGAGAGAAATGTGTTATGTGTAATGTGATAGAATAAAATTGAGAGAAATATAATAAAAAATTTACAAGAGAAAATCTTGTCTTAGACACAATTACAATTTGCAATGCAATTCTAATATTTCGGGGAAATTTTTAATTATCTGAAGAGATGACTATATTTGTTATATTTTTTTTAAAATTTACTAAATCTCTCAATTGGAAATAAAATAAAAATTAAATGTCCCAAATAATTAAAAATTCCCAATTATTTTTCCTTAATAAGAATGAATTATAAATGGAGGACTAATATTCAATTTTATTTTAATCCTAAAAATATATTATGTATGTGTGTATGTATATAATAGGATCAGTTTTTTTTATTTTTTATAAATTTTCCTTTTTTCATTCAAACTAATTTCTTTGAAACATGTTTCTCATACAGATCTACACTCTAATATTTATTCCAATTAAAAAAAAAAAACCTGTATTATTATAATTTATTATATTATACATGTATGTATATCAATTATTCGTAATTGTATGTATATTTATGTTGAAAAATTTTATATATGTATGTATTTGCAATTTTTTTTGTAATCATTTATTTAAAAATTACACTTTAAGTGACATTAAATTATAATTTTGTTAAAAAAATATTTTTATATATTTATTATTATTAAATTTATTATACATACATATATAAGTATAACATAATTGTACATACATATATAATTTTACACAATAATAATATTATTGTGTAATAAATTCGAAAAATAGTATGACAACATTTTAAGTATAACAATAATAATAATACATGCATATAGTATCATAAAGTATCACAATCACTTCCATCTAATAGCAAGCAATAGCAGTAGCAAGATCATAATATTATTAAGATATAAATAAAAGATGTTGGATAATATAACAGTATAATATAAGAGAAGAAAAAATAATAAAGTAATAATTTATAAATCAGCAAGTAAATAGAAAACAAGAAAACAAGAGAGAGAAAAAAAATTCATGCAATTGCCGGTCTTGACAATATTAAAAAGCAAAGTAAAATTTTCTGACTTATGATACACACTTGTATAATATATGTATACTCTAAATACAAACCTATTTACTTAAATATAAATTGTTGAGCGTAATAATGACAGTAAGAGCAACAGAAAATAAACAAAAAATAATAATAATAAAAATTAACAATAAACGATAAAAACCAACTCAATTTCCGTTTAAACCGGATTCACCGGATATTGTTTGCATGAATTTTTTCTTTTTCTCTTAATAGTTTTCTTACGCTAAAAAATTGTTTTTGTACACACTTTGTTTTTTTTTTTGTTATACTTGTATGCCAATATTAAATTGTATAAAGTGTGTTTTGTATATTTTGCGAGAATAGCAACAAAAACTTTAGTTAGTTAGTTAGTTAACTAAGGGCGGACGTTATTTAGTTTCATGTTGTCTATTTTTTTTTCTATTTCTTTTATTTTTATTTTTCTCTTAATTCTTTTATATGTATATTATTTTTAAACTTATGTTTAAATTTAATATAAATATTTTTTTTTATTTTAAATGGAAAAGCTGCTAAGCTACCTGTGTGTATGTATATGTACTTAGTATAAAAAAATATGTACATACGGATGTGTAGATGTGCAACATAAAATAATATTTTATGATGCTGCCATTAATAATTTATTTAATTTTTAATTTATTTATTTTTTTTTCTAAAGTTATTTTTTCTTTTTGATCCCTATTAATTTTCTATCAGTTAATATAAGAATCTTGTACTGTTTAAAAGTTAAGTCTTAAGTTTTTGTAATTTTTTACCTTAGAATAATTTGAAAACAACCAAACATTTGGATACTTACTTGACATAAGAAGAGTTAATTTAACATTTTTGTGTAATTTTTGTATATTAATATTATTTGGCGTACACGATTTAAAAATAAAAGCACTAATTAAAATTTCTGAACAATTAATGGTAATAAATACATAACGTATGTATGTACATAATATGAGGCGCTCAGCAAATTAGTATTGATATCACTTCGCGTATCGCAATATTGAAATATTTAAATATTTGATTTTTATAAGAAAATTTTTTAAGCCAAAAACGAACTTATATCAAAATATATAGTGAAAAGAAGAGTGAACTAAGTAATTTGAAAATATAAAACAGTTCTTTAAGCCATTATAAACTCTATTTAACGTAATAACTCATTTTTGCAAAAAATGTTGGATAGGCCACTAAACGTGCTGAGCGCCTCATATGAAATATAATAACATTTTAGTATGTTTTAGTATGTTTATTGAGTCTATGAGAAAATTTCGAGTCATATATTAAAATACAAATTCTCATAGAGAATAAAAAAATACTCTCTTTCGGCGATTTGAAAAAAAAAACCGCACAAATAATTGATATAAATCGGATCGGGATCAAAATCAAGTAAAAAAAATTAAAATGTAACAAAAGAATTTCCCATTAATAAAAATTTCCATTTCCGAATTATTTTCGAGAATATTCACAATTTTAAAAAGTGGGTTTTTTTTTTAACTTTGACATTATTCACAACACACTGTAATAAAACATAAAAATTAAATCAGGTGAACAAAAATAAAAAAAAAACAAAGAGAAGATAAGTATTTGCGGAATTAAACAACAATACATGTACATACCTGCTCACAAACATAATCCCAAAATTTAGGTCAAGAAATAATTTGAATTGTATATACATACATAAATATCTAATAAAATTCAAGTTATACTTATGGTTTAGAAAATAATAGTTTAATTTAGGTAGACAGTTGGCCAAATTTAGCTATGGTATTTAAAATAAATTACAAATATCATAAACAATTTTCCTTTAATTTTAACATTGCAAAATCAGGCAAAAATTGTGAATTTACTAGCTGTCAACAATCTGTTAAAATCTATTCAATCCATCAATAAAATAAATATACCCTACTAATTATATACACATGCATACATACATATATATGTTATTTGTACCTGTTTTCAAAATTCTGTTAATCTGAAAGAACATTGTAACCAAGAAAAATTAGAAAACAAAATTGTCTTTATATTAAACACTTTTCAAAATAAACATGATTTATTATTATTTGAACTGTCTTACAAAGTAGAAGTCTTATGACAAGCGGACATATTAAATATTTTTTATTTTTAATTGTATACACATAAGATAACTGTAAATATTAAAATTTATTATTTTATAAAAATTTAATTAATTTATTTTATTTTTTTATATTTCAGATGATTTCATAATTAACCACCAATTGATTTTTGTAAAATAATATGATCTCATTCTCTACTGAATAGTGTTAGAAAAAAGCATTTTAAATGTCTAAAATATATATAAAAATTACTAAATAAGAGCTTACAAAAATTTCACAACAAAAAACAAAAGAATATTGTCCAAGAATTACAGGAGAATTAAAGAAAAATAATTTTTAATTAAATTTATCAAAAATATAAAATAAAAATGAAAATGTTACCGATACCATTATCATTAGGTGGACCACCATTAGATATTTGGAATAATGTATTATGGCGGTATCCACCAGCACCGCCAAGTCCATTAGCTGAATTAAAAACACAATTACCGCCACAATTACCACCAGATCCAAGATTATGGAATCGTAATGATGTAACGGTATTTTTACGTTTTTGTGAACGTGAATTCGATTTACCAAAATTCGAATTAGATCTCTTTCAAATGAATGGCAAAGCATTATGTTTATTAAATCGTACAGATTTTGGTGAAAGATGTCCAGGTGCCGGTGATGTTTTACATAATGTATTACAAATGTTAATGCGTGAATCACAAATGATGCATCGTCATTTACCAAGTAGTCCAGTAACACCAACATCACGTTATCCATTATCACCGCATAGTCAGCCTCCAACACCAAATTGGGCTCAATTAGCACCACCAGAATCACCATTTCATAATGCTCATTTGCATCATTTTATGCAACCGAATTCAGTTACATTAAGTCCAGCACCATCAATTGATTCACAAGCAAGTAGTCCACCACAAAGTAATGCACAAGAACAACAACCGAATGCATCATCAACATCATCTTCATCATCATCATCATCGACATCATCTTCATCATCATTAGTATCTGGATCAATGAATGGTACAAATTCAAATAATGTAATTAATTCGTCAATACAACAACAGCAACAACAACAACAGCATCAACAACAAAATTCAAATAATGTGTTCTCATCAAAAAATAATAATGGTACAATAAATAGTAATATTAGCCAAATAAATCCAACAAGCTCAAGTAGTAATCAATCAGATTCAGATGATGAGAATTTTAATTGTAATAACAATATTAGTAATAGCAATAATAATAATAGTAGTGTATTACCAACTTCAACAACTTCAAATGGTAATGTAAGTACAACAACCAATAATAATACACAAAATAACAAACATCATCATCAACACCATCATCATCATCATCAGCAGCAACCTCCACAATTACCAATGCAATCAAGTCCTCCACCAACACCAACATTATTAAAAGATATTAAGCCCAGTTTATCACAACAATTGACAAATGTTATGAATTCTTGGTCACAACAAAATCATTCGTTACAAATTAAAAATGAAAATCCAAGTAGCGGATCTGTTTCTGCACCATCAACGCCCGGTTATATGCCAGTGAAAAGAGAATTTTTCCCAGATACACCGGAACCAAATACAAGTAAATTATAAAATTCATTAAGTTAATTTATTTATTTCGTTACTAAATTATTTATTTTTTTTTTAACACATAGATGGCAGATTATTATGGGATTTCTTACAGCAGTTACTGAATGATCCAGCACAAAGATACAGTAATTATATTGCATGGAAATGTCGTGATACAGGTGTATTTAAAATTGTTGATCCAGCTGGTTTAGCAAAATTATGGGGTATTCAAAAAAATCATTTATCAATGAATTACGATAAAATGTCCAGAGCTTTAAGATATTATTACAGAGTTAATATTTTAAGAAAAGTGCAAGGAGAAAGGCATTGTTATCAGTAAGTTTTGAATTTAATATTAAATAAAGAAATTTATTTATTTTAAATATATTAAATTATTTTTAGATTTTTACGTAATCCATCGGAATTGAAAAATATAAAAAATATCTCATTACTTCGACAATCTGTTGCGAATTCAACTAGCAATATACCATCTTCACCATCAGCAACATCCGCAACATCGAACAATCTATCAAATTCCAATAGCAAATTAGATTCGCAAAATACTCAACAAAATCAACATCATCAACAATCCCAACACAATCAACATCCAAATTCCGATTCACGTCATTCTCCCATACATATGGCGCAATCATCACCGCATCATTTATCTGCCGTCCATCATCATCATCAATTGGTACAACATCAACAGCAAAATGGCACAAGTAATAGTAATCAATTGGGCTTGCCAAATCTATCACAAATAACCTCAACTTCCCCAGTATCTGCTTATGGGCAACCACCAACTTCACCTCATTTTTTACATGCAATTCAAGATGCTTTTTTTGCTGCAACATTAGCAACTCAACAACAACAACAACAGCAGCAACAACAACAACAACAGCAACAACAAGCTCAATATCAACCTCCACATTCACCAGCACTGCCACCAACACCAAGTGAAAAATTACAATTTAGTAGCTTAAAAATAGAATCGAATTCAAATGATGGTAATGATGATATTCAACCAACTGATTTAAGTGTACCAAATGGTGAAAGAAGATGGAATGACAATTATAATAATTTTGCTGATTGTTATCCGTAAGTAAAAATATTTTTTTTTTTATTTTTAGTTATTATAGTATTTGTTTACCCTTAAAAGTAATAATTATAAAAATATTAATTTTTAGATTAATTCGTAATTCAGATGGTTGTACAACAATAAAATTAATAAGATATCAAGAAAATGGTTCACCATCACCATCAGGTACTGGTACAACAAATGGTACAGCTGCATCAACATCATCACCTTCATCATCGTCACCAAATGGAACATCAACAACAACACCAACATCAATTAATCAACCACATTCGCCAGGTGCTGTTAGTAATGGTGATAACAGATTACATTCAACAACATCAAATAGTAGTAGACATTCACCATCTCTATCACCACATAGTAATACATCAGAAGATGTAAATGTTGATGAAATGCCAACTGATTTAAGTAAATAAGAAAATTATTTTGTATTTTATAAGAAATCATTATAATTTACAAAATAATAAAACAAAAAGAATTTAATTATAAAACAAAAATGTTAGAAATTTCTTAGGTCCAAAGCAGATTTTTTGTTTTTTTATTAGAAAAATATTATCAAATATTATTATATAATGTTATTAAATATATTATGATGAATATTTTTTAAAAAAGAAAACAAAGGAAAAATTATGAAAAAGAATATTAAGTAGAAAAAGAAAATAGAAGTAGATAGAAAGGGATGATTATGCATTTTTTTTATAAAAATCATAATAAATCTAAATACAATACGAAACAAAATTGAAATTAATTAATTAGAATTCATTAAAAAATATTAATGAAATGATGACAATTATTATTGAAAAAAAAATTAAAAATTACAGCAAAAACAAAAATTAAAAATAAAATCATATAGGGGTTTATTAATTCGCCTTAAATATAAAATGTAATTATAGAATTTTTATTTGATTTAAATTTTTTATATTAATAACAATATATATTATTATTAAATTGTAAAAATACAAGGGAATAACAAAAAAAATTAAAATATAAAGATTTAGATAAAATAGTTTATAATATAACAATTTAATAATTAATTAATTGATCATTTATAATAAATAGAGAAAATAAATAAAATTTATATAATCTTAATTTAAAAAATTTATATATATATACAAAAGAAAAAAAACGCATACATAAACGTATAATATTACAAATTAAATGCACTGAATTTTTTGGCCATTTTAATAGAAATTTTTATTTTTTTTTTTAATTTACTATACAAAAAACAAAAAATTAAGAAAAATAGGCATATATAAATAGTTATTAATAAAAATATAATATATAAGAAATAAAAATTTATTATTATATTTGGACGACGATATTATAAAAATTTAATTATAAAAATACAATAAAATTTATTTAATTTTAAGAATGTAATTTTCTACATGTTAAAAAAAAACAAGAAATAAAATACACATACTTTTTTTTTTTATTTGTACAATATTTTTATATATAATATTATTAAATTTTATTAGTTTTTTAAAAAAATTTCCAATATTTTTGTAAATTTTGTTTTTTATGTTAATAACAATATTTCTTCCCGCTTTGTGTTTTTATTGTCTTCAAGTTTTTTTTCTTTCTAAATCTTAATTAATCAGCCATATTATAAATAATTAAAAATAATTAAAATAAATAAGTAAATTAAATTGCAGATGTACAGTAATAAATTTTTTCATATTAAAATTTGCTTTCATTTTTCTAATAAATAATATCATTTTAGATACTATACTTAAAATAAATCTTTCGTTAACAAAATTTAATAGAAATAGTAATAATAAAATTTTAATTAAATCTAATTTACAAAAAAAAAAAAATATTAACAATAAATTAATTAGTATAAAAATGCAATATTTAATTTATGAGAAAAGAAAAATTTTATTTTTTTTTAGTTTGTTTTTATATTGTACAAGAAAAAATGTTATGAAAATTGTAATGGACAATCAAAATATATTTCTGTTTTTCTTTTATTCTTCTATTTTATTATATTAAATTATATAAAAATATAAATAAAAAATCAGACACAATATAAATAATATTCCTCTCTATTATGTATATCGGTATCGGCCGATAAACGATAATTTATCGGCAAAATTTTGTGTTTGTATTACCAACATTGTTTATCGGTAAATTTTATCGGAGTCGGGAAAGCTTTTTTTTCCCTGTATAGGAAACGTATTAGCTGGTATTATGAAAACGATAAATTGTCGGGTTTTCACCGATTTAAAAGCGGGTACAAATTTTTAGACGACAGATTTTTTTTTTTTTGTAAAATCTTCATTTTATCAAGTAAACTGGTGTAATTAATTGCTTTTTTAAAATGTAAGCATTTTTTCTAAATTATTTTCTTTCAAAATGTTCATATATTTTATTTAGGAGTAAAATCGTAAGCATCAAAAAACAAATTGCGCGGTTAGTAGAAAAAATGGAAGAGGACTTAAACCTGGCAAGGAATGATAATCTGAAATTCTGGATAAACTTAAAAAATGTTTACATATTATATAAATTATAAGATAAAATAGGTACATAAACATACATTTTGTTGTCTAAATTGATTAGTTGAATCTCTTATATGTCGTCTTTGAATAGCTTGTGTTTCTTTACTTACTACCGTTTCTTCACTTTCAAAATATAATGCACGCGACATTTTCCCGATATATGTATATTTTTATTTTACAAATTTAACAGAAAATAACTTGCTTACAACAACTTTTTAGCACATCAAAACCAAATTCAAAATAGTTTTAAAAATTTTTTGAAAATAACTTTTGAAAGAAAACAAATGTCATTAGAAAAAAAAACTTCTCTAATTTACAAAAACAAAAATTTGTATTAAAAAGCTTCTTTTAATCGGTTGAAATATTTTTATCGGTATCGGTTCATAATACAGAAGAAACCTAAAACCGATTAGAACTGCCGATAATATATCGGCAGATACCGATGTTCATAATAGAGGGGATTATTTTATTTAAATTTTGTACAAAAAAAAATATGAAAACAATAAATGTGTATAAATACAATGAAAAATTTTATTTAAATTAAAAATTATAAAAGTAAAAAATTTTAAATAGAATCTTAAATTTCAGAATTACAAAATATAATATTTACTCATAAAAATATATAAAATTAAAATTAAATTTTTTTTTTTATATTAAATATTTTATTTTAATTAATTAATTAATATAATATTAATTAAATTTCATATAATATTTCTAAATATAAAATCATTTATAACTTGATTTTATACTAAAATAAATTATTTATTCAGAATACATTAAATTCATGTATACATACATTAAAAAAATATAATAATATTTTACTTTTATATTCAATTTTTAATTGTGTTCTATAATATTCTGTTTGGTTTTTTTTTTGGAACACATTCTTTGGAATCGTTAAATAAAAATGAATGAAATTTTAATTATTATATTTTTTTAATTTTTCTTTTAAAATAAAATTAATAATTAATAATAAATTGAATTATTTTGTAAAGTATTGTGAAAAATTTTAATTAAATTTATTATCAATTTCCGGTTTAATAAAGGATTACATTTTTGGATGAATCATTTCAATTATATTATTAAAATAATTAAATTAAATTTTGCAATTCTATATTAAAAATTTTTAAATAATATTCCCATTGTATTAAATGGAATGCGTCTAATAAAATATGAGAACATTTTAGAATATTTAAATTTAAAATTTTTATAAGTTTCTAAACTGATTTGATTTATTATGCAAGATAAAATTTCTCTCTTTTTCTTTTTGTAAACAATTTACAAATAGATTTAAATTTTAATGAAAATTAAAAAAAATATGAGCTGTTTTACTTTTTTTTTTTTTAAATTTATAATTTAAAAGCAATTAATTTTTCTTTTTAATTCTCTTAATTATTATTATCATAAAGCACAAGCATAAATAAAATCAATAAGTAAATTTTTTGTGAAACTATCAAATTTTTGTAATTATTTATTTTAATATTATCAATTACTTTTTGATTCAGGATATAATAGCCAACACTATTATGAACAGTGTTCATCTTTAATTTTCATATTTATACTTTAAAAAATAAAATAAAAAAAAAAAAGAATTTATTATCTTATATATATATATAATAATATTAAATTAATACACACATTATTTACTAATTAAACATATTAATATATTACACACAAAAAAAAAATTAATATACATACATATATTTTATTCAATATTCATAAATATTTTATATTTACAAAAAAAAAAAAATTAAACAAATTATAATTTTCAATATTTATAAATGAAAACCAATATATAAAATAATATTTAATTATAAATGAATGTTTATATTTCAAAAAAAAAACAAAAAAATAAATTGAATAAATTGAAAATACAATAAAAATGTGCCAATTCTTTATTATATTAGAAAAAAATATCAGATATGTAAAAAAAAAATTGAAATAAAAATTAATCTTAAACAAAAAAACAAAAATTAAGAAAATATTTTAGATTTTTAAAATAAAAATATTCTAAATAAATAAATAAATAAAAAAGAAGATTAAAATTATTTTAATTATTAAGTAAAAAAAAACAAAAATATTTACAAAAATTAAACACAAAAAAAAAAAAATTTTTAAAATTATACGAGAAAAAATTAAAATTAGTTTTTATTTTTGTTTTATTTTAAGTTTTAAATTAATTAAAAGAAAATATTATTGAATATTAAAAAATAGAAATTATGTTTTCCATTATACTATATTATTTTTTATTATTTTAATTTTAATTTTTTTTTTTATATATTTTTGAAATAGCTTTAAAAATCGCAATTTATGTGTTTTGTATTTTATTTATGCATTTTGTTTTTTTCTGTTTTTGTGCAAAATTTTATTCTTATATAATAAAAATAATTTTTTCATATTAAAAATAATTGAATTTGTATTGTCTCGAAAATTTTAAATTTTATAATAATTTTTATTATTATTAAAAAAAAAAATAATAATTGATACTCAATAATAATGTTAATTAAAATAATAATTAATAAAATGTAATTTTAAAACATTTTACATTCTTAAACGAATCATTTGAATTAATTGTTCATTTCATTTGAAACGCATTAAGGTTTGATGATCTAATTCCAAAAAGCAAAAAATCCTTTTAATAATATCGGATTAATATTCAAATTATTATGATCGTCGAAGCGAATGGATTATGCGAGCCGAATGGATTAGGCGAATCGAATGGACTAGCCAAATCGAATGGGCTAGCCAAATCGAATGGACTATGCGAATCGAATGGACTAGCCAAATCGAATGGACTAGGCAAATCGAATGACATTTTAAATTATGATCGGCTAGCGCAAGATATCAAAACATGTACAGAAAATAATGAAGTTAACACAAGATACGTACATTGTTTTTGATTTTATTGCAAAAAAACAATTGAATTTTCCTATTTCTTTAGCAATGTCGGGATTGTTCTTCATTAATTTAATTAAATGCTCGAATTGTTCTTGGTTCGTTTTTTTTTTATACGCTCAAATTAATATTAAACAATCAATATTTTTTATAAATAATTTATAGAATTTTATGAATTTATTTAACAGATACTTAAAATTTTTCCATTTTATCACTATAAATTCTATAATACACTTATATATTAATTTGAATTTTAGTTTCATTCGCCAAGCTTCGTTACACAAAATTTTCATTTAACAGATTTGACAACTTATATTCGCTTTAATAATTAAGCGAATTCGCTAATCATAATACCAAAAATTCGTGTTCACCAAAAATTTCATTTGCTTCACCGATCAAATTTCATTTGATAATAAAAGAGCCTAAATAAATTAATTCAAATTGATTTGTTTTAGAAAATAACAAATAAGTGATAATTTCATTAAATTCAAATTTAAATAATTTGAATTTTAACAAAAAACAATAAAAAATACTTATTGTTAGAAATTTAGAATAATTTAATATTATGTATAAATTGTAATTTTTATAAAATTTATGCACAAATTATTTAAATTCAAAAATTATTCAAAAAAAAAAATTAATGAAAATCATTGAAATGTAAAAAAAAAACAAAACATTTAAAATTTTTTAAATTGCGATTGAAATTTTTTTTTTATTTTTTATTATT